ATTAACCCAACAACCTCGTCGGAACTAAAATTTAATTTTAACTAATGCTTCAAATGTTTCCTTTCAAACAGCATAACATGCCGCTTATAATGGCTAGAACATAACTAAATTTCTAATTTGCCTCATAATAATAATTTAATAAAAAAATTGGCAGACGATTTTACTAAGAACATTTGGTGATATAACAATCGAACTGCGCATTGACAACTGAATTATAAATTACAACAGATGTTTGCCTTCTGTCTGGAAGCTTTCCAAACAATTCAGAGCCAGTTCGGTCCTCTCAAGCATGACAGACAAACATATATATAATAGAAAATGAAAAGAGCAAATCTCTATCAAAATATATCGACAAGGAAATAATATAATGAATCTACTTTAGCAAAAACGTTTGCCAAATACGAAAATGGAAGATTTAAATCCTAAGTTGAAGAAAATATACGTACTTACCATTGTATCATTAATTCTTATTTTATCTGCATTTGAAAAGCCCAGCCACTCACCACGTAAGTTAGCGGCAAAGCTTTTCACGCTAATAAGAGGTACAACATAGAATATTTGACTAAATGAATTTTTAGTCATTCGAACTATAAAAACTCGTTGTTTTGTAACCGTTACACTTCGTTTAAGATTCGTTTGTAACTTTATTCCATGTCAGCATGGGTAATATGCCTTCACCATGCATAACAGCCTAAGACCTAATGGTTGAAATCGCCTAGCTCAGGTTGTTGGGAAGAAAATAACAAATATATGTCAGTAATGAGAGATCACATACATGGGCTTGGTGGCAATCCATGAACAACTGAACCTTTCTGCCATCATTTCATTAAATTTACTCAAAAAAATTCATAAAAGTCCTAGATATTATACCTACCTCTTTGTTATTTATTATGAGCATGGCAAATCCTTCATCTTTGAAGCAGCATGCTTTTAAGGATTTACTGAAAACTGGAGATGAAAATTTCTGGCTTCCATTGGCATTACAATATAGAAGCACAGTCAGTCCTTTATGTTAAGTTTACTGCGATGCCAAATCTCTCCTTTAAAATCCAATATTTTATTTTGCGAAAGTCTATAAAATAAGCTATTTCCATTGCAGCTGAAGATGTCTTTTACATGTTGCAGTCATTAATAAAATTCAGTAAGTTTATCACCCGCTGATTTACTCTTCAACTGCTGCATTCATAAGCAGATGGATCCTGCAGTAAAAAAAGTTTTGAAGAACAGATATAATCTAAGATTCATGTCAGAGCTGCTACAGCTTCTGGGAATCAAGCAGAGAAGTTCTGTTTCAGCAAGCTGTTGTAAATAGGAGGGTAGAGGAGAACTCTTTATTAAATAAGAAGTTTCAATCAATTAATAACATTATTAGATTTATGGATATAAGGATTATATCTCCAATTTGATTAGAAAGAATAGTAACAGAGCTTGAAGTTGGTGTCAAATAGTTTGGTAAAATTGATTAAAATGTTAGAAACCTACACAGTCTCATCTTATAAAATTAAAAATTAAATTGTCTCTAGTGAGGATTATTGAGAACAGAGAAAGCAAAAGACAGAATCAAATCTTTTTTTAGAAATGTAAAATATACTAAAAATTTAGACAAGAGTGGAAATATTACTAAGTTTAGAAAGGAAAAGGTAGGACATTAAGTCAAATAAAAAATTAACAGAAACGTTAAAATTTAGAAGCGAAGTTAATGGTGAACGGAAATAAATGTACAATTAATAAGAACAAAGAAAAATAGAAGAATAAAGATTAAGGTAATGGATATAAGAAAAACTGGAATAAAGGAGATAATTTAGATTACTGTTTCTATAAACCACTATTTTATATGTAATATAGAATGGATTTATTGTTTCAGTTTTAAAAATGCAAATTAAAGAGGAACAATATGAATAAACAGGCTAAGAAAGCTTTCTGAACGAGATGCTTCAGACAAGTGGATTCTGAAAGGCTATGCGAATTATGCGAAAGGCTATGAGGCTATCTGAAAATAAAGTTGTTTTAATGGATGCTATTAAGATGAGGATAAGGAAATGATGAATTAAATTAATAAGACTTAATTACAATGAAATTTCACTAAGAGTAGTAATAGCTGAAGAGGCTGAAATGTTATTCATTATGGAATAAGTTGTTAGAAATAAGAACCATCGGAAGATTAGGTTTTGAAATATTAAAATTAGACCTTAGTATGACATGATGTTTCGAGTGTGGACCAATTTTCCATTAAAACCGAACAATTTCTTTCAAAGAATCTTTTTATTGCAAAATATGTGGTTAAAGAACTGAATTTCTTGATAGCAATTAGATTTAAATATTTTTATCCATTGAAATAATTCTTATAATTAATGCATGCCATAATTTTTTCTTTGCTTTCTTAGATATATCTATTTACATATCTATATAAATAGATACATTCGAGAATGACTGTTTCTAAGCACACTCTGCTAAACATTTCAATTATTCAAAATTTTTTATGTAACTTTAATTTTGGCTTTTTTATATGCATATATTGTTGAATACACTCATGGAGCAATATTACCCAAACCAAACCCAAACAGACTTTGTTACCGATCAAATTATGGTGTCATTCAGTAGATATGAACATGTCAAATAATAATTTGGAAAATGGTTACAAGCAGCATCAACCCAACCATGTAAATTACAGAAACAAAGTTATGATATCATATATGAAGTCATCATTACCATCTTACTTAACATTTACTTTGTCAGGTAAGAGCTCTTTCAAGAGTGAATTAGCCAGTATTATATTCTTATAGAACACATTTTTTAATGTTTTAGGGGCTTATGTACTCAGACGAAGTAGCTGTAAATTACTATAAGCAATGACATTTTGAACTTTTGATAAAATTTGACATTTAGTATTAAAAATATACAGACCAATTAAAAAAAACTAATTAAAAAATGTTAAAATGTAGCTGCAAGAGGTAAAAAGATTAAAAATTAAAAAATAACATTTGGTTGCAGTATTTTTACAAATTGCATTTCAATGAAATCAGTATATATCATGTGTTTCTGGGAAGGAGGAACTTTTATTTCATCAACATGTGGTAAATGAAAAATTATCACCTTACTGAAATTAAAGTCGTACCTAGATTTTTCGTACTTTATTAAAACTTAAATACAAAAGTACAAAACAAACAGAAAACTATGAATAATTACAAAATGTATTATAAATAATTTAACAAAATACATGATTAATAACACATGATTTTCAGAAAGTGTTTTTAAATTCTTATAACTTCATGAAAAGAATACAAAACGCAAATAACTATTTACTCGTACTGAAAGAAAAAATACTTCTTGCTAAATAATTTTACATGTGTGTTAAAATTCCAAGCAAAAAGCAAATGAAATATCCTAAGAGCACTAAATTCTGCCTGACTAGATAAATAGAGTATCTAATACAGTAACATTTTAACGGCAGTGTACAAAAATATGCATTAAAATTACAGAAATATATTCACATATATACAAACATAAGAATGACAGCTTTGAGCTTTCAAGGTATCTTTGGAAATAAATCACAGTTAATTGTTTAATACATCCTTTAAAGGATAAAGTTCAAAATGAATAATAAGAAGCACAGCTTTAAAAACAGACTTCTCAAGTATAAACAATCCAGCAATTACATGATTGTACTAGAAGAAAATTTCTTCAATACATACATACAGTTGAGAAAAAGAAAACACAGAAAAATAATTCACACAATCTGAAACATACACAACAGTAATAAGAATACTCTTCCAAGGAGGCTTGTAGTTAAAGTGAGAATATAATTTTAGGCACACACTCTACAGATCACAGGATTTAGTTGATTTAAGTATATTAGGTAACAAAAAATTTTAAATCAGTTTATTTTAAACTAGCAATTTTATTTCAGCATAAAAAATTACAAAGTTAAATTTTATATTATTCAGAACATTTGTAATAAAAAAAATTTCAAAATTAAGCAGGCAACATTTCATCATACCAAGTAAAAATGTTCTAGATTAACATAACATCATCATAAAATTTAAATTAAGACTTCCTCATTAAATGCTTTAAAACATAAACTATAAATTAGGATTTCTATGCTGTCAGTAAGAACATAAGCTAAAAAACATTACTATCTGAGGCTTTAGATTTAGTACTTTATTTTAGAAATAATTTGACTGACTGAATTGAGAGGTTTTCAATTGACACTGTCATTGCTCGCATCCGTGTCGAGAATACAATACAAACAAACTTCGATTCATAATAAATATAAAAATATAATGCAGTAATTTCCCTGTTCAAAATTTGTAATCAAGAATTGTATAGACTGGTGGTCTTAAACTGATGGCTTGCAAATATATTTCCAAAAAATTAATTTACACTAGTATGACAAGAATTTGTCAAAAAAGTTTTAAATTTTGAAAAAACAGTTTAAAAAAGATTTTAAATGGCTCGGAGTCCAATTTTACATTAGTTTCATTATCCCTCTCCAAAAAAGAAATGAGGAAGAATATGAGTAGCACCCCAGAAAATCTAAAAACGGAGCTAATTGATTTACACTGTGATATAAATCTTATTCAAAGATTTAAAGATACAGATTTGACTAACTTTTATTCAAACTCTGTCAAATGAAAAATACCCTCAGTTACAAAGTTTTGCGATAAGAATTATTGCTTTGTTTAAAAATACATGTGCATGTGAACAGTTTCGCCCTCCTCATAACTGAATATTAGTAAATCTAAAGGGGGGAACAGAAAAGGAACTCATGAACATCTACAATTCATGATAAAAATAGTTCCTAGTAAGGCTTTATCAAAATTGAAATGCCAGGAGATCTTGTAGCTGAAAGATGTAGTAGGAATAAAGAAGTTTAAAATTATTTCCTTATATGCATTTTTTCTATATATTTTTCTATGAATTTCTATAAATTTAACAAATTTAAAAAAAATTATTGTCATTATTTATTCTCAAATTTTGTCCCACCTGAGATGTTTTTGTACTTTGTTTATTTTTAGTTTAAGAATGTTATTTAGCGGTTAATTCAATATATTAGAATTATTTGAATAGATGTTCGTCTGAAAGTTTAATATTTAACTGTCAATATGTTTGAATTACAAAATGTAACCAACTGAAATTTCTTGGAGAAAGCAACCTTTAGATTTCAGAAAAAAAAAAAAAATAAATAAATAAAAATAAAAAAAATAAATAAATAAATAAATAAATAAATAAACCTGAATTTCTTTGCTGCATCATTATTATTATCCTTTTTGTACATTTTGGTAAATATTTAGTAATTTTCTTTCAAAATTTAGTTAAACGATTTCATTTCATAAAAAAACAAATTTGCCCTGTGACCTGCTTTTAGACCGTACATTCGGCCTATGTGCAATTTGAGTTTAGGACCACTGGTTTAAACAACAGCCTTTCTCATCAATAGATTGAGACTAACAGCAAGGGAGAAAAGTATAAAATTTAAACCTACCATTTCCATTTCCTAAAGTGTTCTTCACGAAGACCAAGAACGAACTAGGTAGATAACCTTCATATTAAAATATTCAATTTAATATTATATTAAAATATTTTTCAATGTTGATTAACTATCTCAGTAGATTCCTTTTCTTTCCTATTTAAATATGCATTAAATCTATATGCAAATATTATAAAATCATGTGTTTAAACATTTTTCTAAAGTTAGGCACACAATAATTTAAATGTAAGGTTTTTAAATGTAGGGTTAAAAAACAGAAAACCCTACATTCTTAAACAGCCTTCCCTTTTTTTTTTTCTCTGTAAAATAAGTTTTTTTGAAAATTTCACGTTATTTTGGTCCCAAACAGTTAGTTAGTGCATATCTTATATTTAACTAATAATTAGAAATACAAAATTAGACTAATTGAGAAAATAGGTATAAAAAGCAAATTACAATTATAAACTACTAGATCAAGTAAGCTTTTCAATTCAAATACAAGACAATACACATATGCTCAATTTCTTAAGGGAAAAAAATATTTAAGCCATAACTTAAATAGCATAGCTAATTTATTTACCTGTATTATGCATGTTCGACTCTTATATCTTGCACATACTCCATTTATCCCTCCCAAAAAATCATATTCATAATCATATTCATAAGAGCTAAAAAAGGTAGTAAAAAGCAGACAGATAAAAATGTCTTTAAATTTACTATTAAGTTTACTATTAAGAAAAAGACACACTATTCTAATATTTTTTCGCTTAATAAGAATCTTTATAGTATTATGAAAACAGACTTTTATCATCACTTAAAATTGCACACATGCATAATATTTTTCAGTGAATACCTACATAATTAATCAATTCAATATTACTTTTCATAAAACTGTAGAAATTTTTTATGGAACATTAGAGTTTATAGAAGTGTTATAAAAAATAAGGAATATTTAAGATATTATAAGTTTAGGCAAAACAGCGACATTTTGGTATAGATTTTAAATAAAACTCTATCGACTTGCAAAAAAAATTCTACTCTTCAAGAATTTGTTTTGCTCTTGAAGAAGAAGACTTGTGTCTGATCGCCCTCAAATTGACAGAATTATAGTTCAAATCTATGCCAAAATAAGGTTGCTGTTTTGCTTAATTTAAAATTTTTTATTGGATGTTTCTCATCCTATCTGAATTATAAACTTGTTTTAAATAATTTTAAATGCCTAAATATATGTATCTGGTAATCCAAACATATAAATCATTTCACCTTTTATATGCAGTAATCTTAATTATTCTCGGCTGTGCTATCAACAAAGGGGAATTCTAAACATAAGATGAAAGAAAGCATTTTACCCCTTCAAAATATATCCTCAACAAAGAGCAATTTAACCTATTGAAATTAAACTGACATATGAAACGTTATTTTAAGAAAAAGAAATTCAAAGTGTACAATCTATTCGATGTATAATGCACAATATAAATCAATTCTATGTTACAATGTTACATTTAGAAAAATTGACAGATATCTAGTGTATTAACAATCAAGTACATAATTAAATTGGGGCTATATCCCAGACTGAAATAATTTTAGTATTTCCAAACGAGTGGTTACATAAATCAAAGAAGAAATTATTAATTGATAGATGAAAGGTCTCACAAAATTTTAATATTGTTTTTACCGGAATTCAAGTATTTTGAGATAAAAATCAAGTAATTCTGAGGACATAAGTAAACTAAACTGGTGAATAATTTTGTTAATCACATCACCTATATTTTCACAGAACATATACAGTCTGCTTTTCAGTACTTTTAAGTATTTCCTTAACAAAATTACTTGCTTTACCATTTCCTTCTATTTCTTCATAATAACTTCTGTAAGTAATGCAGGATTCAAACTGTTAAGTTTTCTTAACATAGAAAGAAATTAACTCCACATAAAACGTCCTAAAATATGCCAACTGAAACATTTAGTAAACAAATGCTAATTTGATTATGTTTGTTAAAATTTATCTGAAGGTATACAGGATAACTTTATTTTAATTAATAAGATTAAAATACTTTTGAAATTGAAAAACTTGTCAAATCTAATAGCTCTTTACTCAGTTACAAGCCATAACATGCAGCAGAGTGCATTTCTGTTTGAAGAAAAATAATCAGTATAAATGAATGCTAAATGAAATCCCTTTACAGAATACGATACTAAACTGCTTTTATGCAGAATATTGAATAAATATAAAACATGTTTTGTACATCAGCAAAAACAGGAATTATTTTAATTCTCTTCCACCACATTTTTAAAAAAACATTATAATTTTTAACATGGAAGATCTAATTTTTTACTTAATATTCTTTTGCAGTTAGAAATGGTGAGATCAACAAGTAATATAAAATGGTATTGAAACTACACAGAGACTTAATTGAAGATTATTATCTATTAGTTCTCTTAAGAAAGCTGATGTTAATATCAGCTTATGTATAAACACATTGATTTACACGAACCATTTAGTGAAAGGAGGAAAAGTAAAAGATGTAGAAAAGTTAAGTACAACCTATTGAATGAAAAGAATCCTGAATATTTAAAATATGATAAGTAAGATAACACAATTACTAAATTTTGCAAGAATCATTTTGTTGCCAAATTTCAGAAAATGAATTATGAAACACTAATCCAAGAAATATTAAATAAATTAATGATGAACCAAGATAATTAAGTATAATGGTTAAGAGATTCCAAAAGTATTTCAAATAACTATTAGGTTGAAACAAGAAGATAAAACTGCACACAGAAGCATTCAATCCTAGAAATTTGTTTAGGTGTCCATAAAGGAACACGGGAAATATGGTCAAAAACAATTTGTTGCCCTCTATACAAAACAGTCTAATACAGGAAATACTCTAACACAGGAAAAATCAGACACACACACACACACACACACACACAAAAAAAAAAAAAAAAAAAAAAAAAAGAAGTCAACTGATATAGCCATATTATTCAAGAATTTGTGTTAAGATGATGAAATATTACACATTTAAAAATAAATGCACACTTTTTTGTTTTGTTAAGTAGAATACATAAATTCTTGGATATAAAAATTATTAAGAATTCTGAAACAGAAATTTGGCAGAATCCCAAAATTAGATTAAACCACAAAATTTATTCCTGAAGATCAATATTGCATTTTAACTCTTGGAAGATGGAATAAATATCGTGGAAAGCTTTGAAAACTTATTTACAGGAGATCAAAAACTTGATATCTATTCAAATTACATCATCAGAAATATAATTCAACATTTTGTAATGTTTTACTATGATTTCCCATTTTGATAGCTTGCATGAGTTTTGATTCAACCTACAATAGCTGAAGGAGGAATCCAGCCTCCAAATGCTTTTTCTAATTCTACAGCGACAGCTAAAGTAATGCGATCGTTATAGGCATTTGCTATAACTTGTACCCCAACAGGTAACTTTTCTCGACCTAAACCAAGAGGACACTGAGTAACAGGAAAACCAAAGATATTGAATATCCCAGTATATGCAAAGTTGAAAGGTTTGAAAAGAGCTTCATAATGATGAGGTGCACATGTTGGATGGGTGGGAAACAACAGAATGCCATCTTCACCTAGGATATCTTCCAATTCTTGTTTGAGATCTTTGACCATATTGGAGTAAAAATCACTAGGTCCTAACATTGTACTTTCTGTTAAACCAAGGATAATTGCTGGAAACGTGAACCTTGATTGTCCGATAAGCCATTGCAAAAGTTCTAACTTGAAATGGATAATACCTTTCCTCTCAGCAAGTTCATCTGAAAAGGTAGGTGCTTTGCAGCTGGAAATAGCAGAAGCCCACATCATATACATATACTTTAAAGAGCGCAACTCCAGTTTCTTTGGAACTATTTTGTAAGCCACTTCAAAATGATGCAACACCTAAAATAAATTAATTAATTAAACATTAAGCATTAAAAATATAAAAGTTTGTCATTGATCATCCATAAATCTTTATGCTCAATTTCCTTTCAATGTAACAAAATATATATCATATATTTATTTACATCAGATTTTCCACTTACACTTCTAGATTTAAACATGTAGTTCTTGGAAGATGGATGAAAGCTATAAAACACAAATTAGAAAAACATAACTTTTTATTGAATTCTCTCTTTTTAATTTGCAATAAAAATGTGAAAAGAAAAATTTAAAAGTTCAAACCTAGTTTACATGAAATGAGTTATGAAATTAATTTTATTTTCAGAAGGGAATGTGATATCCTCACTTAAGTGCTAAAGGCATACAATAAATGGAACACCATTACAAGCTAAACTTGCTATCAAATATGTCTTTTGAAGCTTTCCATCCCCCTCCCCCTGCTAGCATATTTTACAACAAGGACTGTATGCATTCAGTCTCAGAAAGATGTGCAAAGGCAAAACAGTAGTGTCTGATGGAAATGTTGGACACTCAGTGCAATGTCTGATCATACATTGCTCTGTTGGAAGATGGTTGAAGATGTGGGACAACTATAGCCTTTAACATATTTGGAAAGTAATACCGACTACTTACAAAGCCAAAACATTTGTAGATGAACCTCATACTATAACTTCACACTAACCTCACCTCATTCCATAACTTCAGATTTTTAGTCTGTATGGCATTGCATAAGGGAAGAATCAAATAAGCAATCCTTACAATGAAGCTATACATACACATATTTCATAACACACCATGCAGGATTCATCTGAGAAAATAATGTCACACCATCCATATATTGATGTTTAATGCATTATTATACCAATAGATACTTATGTCTTTTGCTTTTTATGCATTTATAAGCAAGTAAAGCAATAGCCACTGCACAAAGAGTCTATAGCTTTCAAGTTGATCTCATCATATATGCATACACTTCTTGCCCAAGCCACACACTATACTTCTTGTGCTAGGGTATATATTGATGTCTTAGATGACTTTTAAATGGTGGCATATCAAGATCACCGTGAAACTGCATATGGCCAATCCATCCTTCCTGAATCCATCCTTCAGTTCACTTTTCTCATCACAGTGTCAGATTTTGATTAAAGCAAGCAGCAAATCAATATTACGGATATAATTCTCAGCCACACTACACTAGCATTCTCTCATAATCAAAGTTATTGCATGTTTCATCTTCTTTTTTCCCGTAAATACAGAGGAACGTTTTCTCCAATGGGAAAACTCAACCACTTTTTTTTTTCTCTTGCACTGATTTTAGAGAGCATTACAGGTTTGATACCTGTATATGTGCTGCAATGCTAATTATTTTCGGGTCTTAACATGCTTTATTATGAAATTTCACACTGATTGGCTGCTTCCATTATGGTGTCTCAATTTTCATGGCAAGCAGTTTATATTAGGTAATATGTATGAAGATTATTTAACTTGGAAGTTTGATAAATTCATTCGCAAGTAATATAGAATACATAAAGAGTTGCAAAAATATTCATATACTCAGTGGAAAATAATGTTGTTACAAAATAACTGATAAAATAGTAAAACTATTAAGAGCTGTTAGTGTCATATTTAGTGAATATGATACTGACAAGTTTTAATAGTTTTGTTCACCCTAATAAAAACAGTTAAAAGCTAAAAAAAGGGGGAAATTACCTTATGAATAGCATCCACCATATCAGAATCAACTTTTGTGAACATAACATGATTGCCTACATCTTCTATGTAATATATTTTTAATTCATTCAATTTGACCTGAAAAATAACATTTATTTCACCATAAGTAGATAACATAAGTATTAGAGTATTAGTTAACCATAAGTATTAGAGATCTACCTAATAATTTCTACTACAGTTTTACTAACAGAACTCCATACAATGATATATTGATAACCGACACAATGATAAATTCAGAATTTTATGAAAGTAACCTAAACATTGTGAATGGGAGGGTTCTATAAACATAAAATATAATTTCTATATGGTCTCAATTCAGTAAAAATTTCAGTCAACAAAATATTCATAAAACTTTAATAGGTTAAATGCAAAAATATTGCAAACTTTTATGTAAAATTTCAAAGAGATACACAAAGTGAATACTTCCATCCGGCTAGTTATGAATGTAACAAGATGTAGTGTTTTATTTAATATGCAGGCATCAGTTTACAACTTGTGTTTTGTAGTTTCTCCTTAACACTTTACCTTTCAAAGAAGCATACGAGTGCAAACAACTTAATTTAGTGCAACTCTGTGCATGGAGTTATCACAAAATAAAAATTAAGGTACTTTTCCGTTTTGCCGGCGCAAGCGATAAAGTCGCCAATAATGGTACAACCGATGCCAAACGGAATATTCTTGCTGGTAACCTTTTAAGCCTCATTTTCAAAACAAGTCGCAGCTTTTTCTTATCAGATTGATGTGTTTCTTTCAATACTGGCATATAATTACATAGAATTTTATCAGATAGTTCAGTTTATGTCTAAGGCCATTTTTGGCAATTAAGTCAATCAGGATGCAATCACAGCGCTTAATCCGAAGCCGAAAATATAGAAAAGGTAAAGTCAAGTGTTTAAATTCATCAATTCTAACGAGAATGCATTAGCAAAGTAAGCACTGCAGTTTACATAATTTCTGAGTAAGCTATTCGTACGAATTGGAATATTTTTTGCATTTAAACTTGTGTTCCAAAATTAAGATTTAACTTGAAATTAATGTAGAATAATTACTGAGAGCATTTGATTTTTGTAGAGTAGTTTACGTGAGATGAGATCGCTTGGTGTCACGTGATATAAACCGGCGAATCAGGATGTTGAACCATGAAAGCATAGTAAATTCTTAAATTAATGTCTTTTCACAATTTATTGTCTTTATTTATTGGCTTTTTATAAAATTTTAAGCGATATTAAAATGTTTATGCCTTCAAAAAAGAATTCTTAGAACTAACCATTTTTTTAATATTTTTTATGTGTATACTGTATGTTGTCGCCAATAAAGTCTGCTTGGCGAGATTTGCGCCGGCGAAACGGAAAAGTACCAAAATTAATTTTGAAGTTTTCATTAGATTAAATTTATATGGATTTTAAATATTTAGATAGGAGGTGAGCATTGCCTGCTTATGTTTTGCACAGGAAATGTATGCAGGTGAGATTCGTTATTTCCACTTCAAGTTTTAAATTTGAGCTAAGAATATTCAATTTTGCTCAATAGTAGGTAATGAAATATTACCTCAGTAAATTCATTGGATAGCATTAGAAAACAATATGCTTTTGATAAGATATGGCAAAACAATTTTGTGTAGATCATTTCTCACAAAAAAGAACATGTGCTTTTAGTGAAAGCAGAATGGCAATGATGTTCCTGTCCAAGTACACTTTCACTTGAAAGCTTAAGGAAAGGGCTCATGTTGGAAAAGGAATTAAAAATCATGACTAAGAAATCTAAAGAGACATATGATATCAACATATCACTAGGAAAGGCAGCCGATTGTGGAAAATGTAGCTAACAAAGTGTCTCTTGCTTCAACTGACTTATGCATGGGCTAGATTTTTCAAGAAATGCTCAAACAATAATGCATGAACTTTTTTGTCCCCTGTCCCAATCATACTGCCATGCAACAAGTTTAAGAAAAGGTCCATATTGGAAATGAATTTAAAATGTGATTAGGAGATATGAAGTAAATGTTAGTTTAAGCATTCACTGGGATGGGGAAGGCATCCAAGAATAGTAGAAGTAGTTGCTGAAGTGACTGCTGCTATAACTAACATAGCCACAGATATACCAGATTCTTCAGTAAATGCTCAAGGAGTGACATATGAATGCGATGGTTTATTGTGCAAATCATTTTATGGTCCATTTTAAAATGCCATAAGCCAAATTACAGTGCAAATGTAGAATTTTCCTCCTTTAAAGTTATAAATAGACATCTTTTAAGGATCTTAAGTTTTACTAACATTTATTTTATTTTAAAACTTTACTATCATCTCTTATTTTCCACTTATGGCTAGAATAAATGCGTTAAATTTGTTTATGCAAATTGTACTTGCTAAACATCATTCAAATGGAATAAATAGCGACCAAAATGGATATTTTTGTTGAAATGAGATACCTGAAATTTTTCACAATTACAGTACTTCCTTTACTTCATACAAGGAAGTTAAGAAAAAAGAATTAATATTTTTAGAAGTTTGTGTGCGGTACCCTGCTCTTTAAAATTAAAGGAAAATTTGAAAAATGTGAATGTGTAATGGTATAACAGTTTATGTTAATTATTTGCAGTTGAATGCAAATCTTCTGTATACAGGTTAGTGCATGAAATATGAAAATTATGCCACTGACAGCATAGTGTGCAATAGATGTATGTTAGAATTTGGATGTGTAGTGCTATTTAATGTTTATGTGGTTTTTAAGAGTGATCAGTATTCATTATCTATAACTTATATCATAACTATCATTACCTATAACTTGTATCTATAACTTAACATTTATGTATAGGGCAAAAGTTATACCACTTTTTAATCAGTGAATCAGCTCGTAGACAGCCTGATATAAAGAACAGCACAGAGCAACACTTACATCTAAAGACCGTTTCCTGTCATTGTTGACCATTTAGCAATGACAAGAGTGTTGGTTATTAAGACTTTTAGGCTTCCTTTCTTTTCACCATCGACGGAACAGCTGGCCCACAGGGTTAGGTGCTTTTCAGCCTGTTGGATCCCATCGATGGAACTAAAATGATAAAATAAATAAAGACTTTACTGTGTCTTCTGGATGGCCCGAAACGAGGAACATTGAAAAGGACCAGAACGGGAAAGAAGTTATGTGTGACTGCTGAACTAACGCAACCCTTTTCACTATTATGTAATGTAGGCATACCTTAATTAAGAATAATCTATAAGATCAGGTATAGTTTGAAATGATCCAATAAAGTTACATTGTGGATACATAATGAGTTCTGGATTATCATAATATAAATATATTAAACAAAAAACAACAACAAAAAAAGATATTAAGTAAATTAATATATGCACGGAGCGGGCTCTGACGGCACGGTGTCCAAGGAAGAAGTCACCTCCAGGCTGTCAGCATGTTTAGCTGGTAGTGCAGTCTCTAATGCAGTGAGTGCATATTTATTCTTAATTGTGTGCTTGAACCATTGCATATGATTGCAGCTTGTCCTTTTAAATGTAAACTCCTTGTATGCAGCATCAAATAAATAGTACCTGGTTTACCAGTACTGCCACAAATACATGGTCACTGTCTCTTAGGTAAAATCTGTGAAGATAGGACATATATGGGCCATGCCCTGTCAGATACTGTGTGAGGTACGAAGAGCTGCTATTTAAATTGTGGTTAACTTTTGGTTGTAAATCCTACAGTCTTTTGCCTGTGGTGCTTGTCTCCCAGTAGTTTTGCTACTGCTTCATTCGTTCATACTTGAAACCCTCAGGCTGTTACAGGAAATCAAATCAGTAGTTTTTGTCACTGAATGAAGGCTGCACAGGTTGGATTTTATGCAAGTAAATTACTGATTTATAGCTCACTTTTCCAAATGAATCTATTTAAGATGGTGTCAGCATCATGCTAAATAGAACAAAGAGAACTACGAGAAAGGCCCATGAACTTTTTACTGATGAGTCTAACTATATGCTGACTATGATCTGGAAGGAATGAAGAGCATACAACTTACATTCTTTTCTTCAAGGAAGATCCCATTTCCACATAAGCAGTTTCATGGTTTACGTTATGTTCATGGTCATCAGAAATTGCCACACCAAGCACCATATTTTTTATGAAGGTTTTTTTAAATAGTCTCATAGGTGGATGAGGTCTTAGGATGTCATTTAGGGCTATTTAGGGTGCTATTAACCCAGATGTTTTGCTAATGAATGACAATGCTTACCAGCATCAACAAATTCTGGTGTGAGACAACTTGAAAACAAAAGCTATTACTTGAATGGTCTGGCCAACTTACTCACTAGACATGAATACAGTTCTAGATGTACAGTACCTTAACTTACTTAAGTGGAGTACATCAAATGTCTCCACAGATCCTCTAGGATACGAAAAGTGTGTGATGTAGCCGTTCCTCAATAGACACTAATGCCGGCTAGCTTTAAAAGGATTTATTAACAGAGCACACAGGAACGGTTACAAACAAATGAAATATACATAAAATGAACAATATCCAAATTGAACATCAACATTGAAATAACTAACATAGTAAGCTAATCATCATGGCGGCGGAGTCGACTGACGTTTTTATATCGCCATGAGATGGCGTTTAAATAAAATAGTTCGGTTACAGTTCATGAGTTCATGGCATGAATAAAATAGTTCAATTACACTTAAATAGGTCTGTTATAAGTGCATTTTTAGAAGAATGGCACATAACTAGTCTTACAGGTAGTTCAACACTTTGGAACTGTCTAGGAACACATCAGCATTAACTGTAACGTAACATTTACGTATGTATTTCTTTTCAAGAAAGATTTGTTGCAAGACAAGGAGAATCATTTTCCCTTCCTTTTAAAATTTTCATAAATTTGAATCCAAGTTCAATATTTTAAGATTAATAAACTGGCAAACACTGCAATTTATATTAAATAATGTTTTTTTTTATAGATTGCCCTTAGTTATTTTTCTAGGATTAGCAGTTAAATTTTATTTCTCTCACTATTCTTTACTTTTGCAAACAATGCAATAAAAACTGCTCTATTCAGAGTTCCCAGTAGATGTGAATGGGGAAGCAGCAGTAAGATTTTGTATAAAGGACGATGAAAAGAATTTAGCTGGGAAAGGAGACAGTTCCAAATAATTCTAATACGAAGAATAAGACATGTTAATATCAATTAGATGTTGCTGAAAACACACAGAAAAGAGCAGAATAAGACAAAACTAAATAAACTGTTGATTATATATTTTTGAAACCTGTATTTGTGAAACAAAAACTATGCTTTTCATGCTGCCTTGATCTGGAAAGTGACCCAATTTATTGTCATGGCATGATAAACAAAAATTCTAATTAACTACTTTTCTGGTTGCTTTGCGGGGTACTGTTCTGTTATTGGGACCGGAGTAATCACCAAATGTTTTGCTAAACTCGCCAAGAGATTGGTTCATATGAAGTCCCTAATGTTTACTTCTAAAAACATTACAATGATAATTTTTTTAGGTAAAAGAATGCCTTTCCAAAATTGGCAACAAGAATACAAATTCCAAAGATGTAATGGTCACTTGTATTTTTATACTATTGTATTTAGCATGGATTTAAAAATCTCGATTTTCTTAATGATGAAACATCTTCCATACAAATTCTTCAAGAATGAGGAATTATTCTATCTAAAAAAAGTGCATGAGAAACCATAAAATGATTTTTTTTTTCTGATTTCTTTGGCAAGTTGTTTAATTTACATTAAAAATTTCTAATTTTATGAATATCTTTCATTAGTTTTTCACATGGATTTTTCTTTAACTGAACCGTCTTGTACGTATTTTGGCGACTATTTTTATGCTTCGAATTTTTTGCCAGATCGTCAGCTTTTTGTGATATATAACTCCAGTCCCAATAATAGAACAGTACCATTGATTGTTCTTATAACTGGAACTAAAAATTCTATGTGAACATAGATAAATGCACGTAGATATATTTTAAAATAAATTCAAAATCTGCCATTAATACATAAAATAAATTAAAACAGCATGCACGAAAGAAATGCTCTCTATTTTATAGCCTGATCACAAATATTAGACATCATTTTTGTTCATTTAATATAACTATAATTAAAATGTACGTTTACTAACTGGAATATCCAAACGCAGAAGTGATTCATTTTTGCCTGCCAGTACTTTCATCATAGGAATCAAATCTGTAGCATACCGGCATAAAGGACCTATGCATAAGTATGGAACAAATTCCCTTTCCCCAGATGGTGGATAAGTGCCATAGTTTGAGACCACCTCTGAAAATAAAATTAAAAAACATTAATGCATATTAAGCATGATTATGCACAGAAAAATAAAAGTTTTAATAGTATTTTTATCAAATAAACTGAAAATTAGAATTATTGCAATGGTTTTTATGCCTAAAATATTAAAAATGAAGCAATGTTTTGCAAGAGCAAATTTGACCTTTCAAGCATTAATTGTTATAAAATTTATATTAATTCTAATTAGCATAGAAAGCAGAAATAAAATTATAATTATTGTTTTAAGCTTAAACAGAATTAGAAATAACTATTTTCTCTTTATATGACAAAAATTATTGTCTTAAAAGGTCACCAATCCATATATATTTGGAAAGTGGTTAGCTTTTAAGTGCATAAAATAAAGCATTTAATTTATAAATAGTTCACCATACAGTTTTAAAATGCATTTTCTGACATTACAATGGATGAATGCAACAGTTTGCAAGTTTTACTAACATGAAGTCAAATAGGTTATTTTAAATGTGATTTCAGTGTCTAGATAGCATCTGTTTTGTCATTGTAAACAAAATCTAATTTTTTTAATAGATAGAAAGGTTTGCAATATGATGTTTTGGATTATATTTTAAAATATAATTGACCCTGTGTAAAAACTGTTTCTTTTCCCCCTAAATTTATATCAAAATAACCAAATGCTTGCTGCTGTATTTCTTTTTAATAAAAGCTGTATTTTTTTAAGAATTTGAGTAACATATAATTTAATTGATTTTTGATTAAAGAAAACTGTTTATAATACAGTGATACCTCAATATAAGTCATTAATTCATTCCAAATCATTAGATGCATACCAAACAAAGTTTTCCAATAAGATATAAAGGGAAAATAATTACCGTAATTTCAGGAAGAAAGGCCGCATCAGCGTAAACGCCGCACTCGAGAAAAATGGCGGGAAAAAAATTAAAATTACACAGAAACGCTGCATCAGCGTAAACACCACAATAGATTAAATTGCGCGTGACATCGTCGTGGGCCGTATAGATGCAAAAACTCAACCAAGTCCTGATATATGACATACCAGTTAAGAAAAATGCATGAAATGAAACCATAACTCAATAAATTAAAGATAAGAAATGTATAGCTTCTGTGCCGTTTAGAGACATTTTCAAAAATTTTCCGCTCCCTAATTAAAACTATCCAACAAGTACTCGTACCCCACAGCTGACTGTATAGAGTTGGCTGTGCTTGTACCCTAACTGATGGGATCTGTATTTGGCAGAATGCCAAGAAAAATCCATTCATGCTGAAGGGGAAATACGTCAGAGTTCGTTATTGCGAGGCAGGTGGAGTCGTGTCCGCCTTTGAAAAAAATTGCAGAAAAGGCAGAGGTGGAAAGAGGATGGGTCCTGGAAGATTCATCGAATGGCAGAGGAGAGAGACTATTCAAACTGATGAGAATGTTGATTTGAAAGGGGGAAGAATGTTATTCTTCTGAGATCTCGTTTAGGGTGAATAAGGCATGTAGGTCCGTTCAAGGGAAAGAACGTAAACAAAATAACGTTCGCAAAAAGCAACTGAGTGGTCTTTTGTGTGGGAACAGCACCAATCTATGCACAATGACAAGGCCATCCAAACTATGTACAATGACCATCATAGGAAATATTTTATTTTTAGTGCACCTAAACGCCGCACCCGCTGAAAATTTAAGTTTTAAACACGTAAACGCCGCGGTGTTTCTTCGGTAAATTACGGTAATAAGTTCTTATTAAAAAGTCATGTTGCTTTTATTATAACACCATTTAATGCAGTGGGTGAAATACAGACAGCCTTCAACTTTTGCACATTTAAAAAAAATTCAATTTTTTAAAGATTTTTTTTGATATTACAAAAAATTTTCACTTTCATGCAGGTGCTCCCACAAAGCATGGTAGCTCATGCTCACTTGCACACTGCCTCCTGCAGTATCAGACTTCTTAAAATTGTAGTGACATTGATGGGGTTGCGAGTCACAGTAGAGGCACCTAATGTCAAATGCATATAATGTATTAAACAAGTTTCGTCTAGCATTAGGACACATATTGATGCATTCTGTTTCACCAATTTATTTATTTACATTTAAATATTTTGCCTTGATAAATTTATGAACATGAATGAGAGACTGCAATGTTGATATGAACAAAAAGAAATTAAGGACTAATAAATTTCATAAAATCAAGACAAAGATAGAAATAATTAGGGAGAATTTTCGACTTCAGCTAGTCATTTATATGGCATTAACAGGTCTATGTCATGTTCAGTTTTGAAAACAAGAAAAAATTAAGGAATTCAATCAAAATTGTAGAAATATATTTTGTAGATTGTTTCCAAATGACATAGGACGGATGAAATGAAAAGATCTTTGTCATCATGGATTGGTGATCAATATCAAAGCAATGTCACTCAGCTTTTCAATTACAGTCAAAAGTCTTTAATCCGGACTCGTCGGGACTTCGGCGATTCCGGATTATCGATTTTTCCGGGTCATAGATCATCAGTTTAAATCTGGTAAGATAAAATTAAAAATATGAAACCGTAATTTATAAAATAATGAGTAATTATGATCTAAAGGATATCAAAATTAACAAAAAAAAGAAGCTTAATATTTATTTGTTTACTTTATTAAACATTTCTTTCAACGCGCGCATGCGTAAAGCATACATTACGCATAGCCGAAATTAGAAAATTGCAACCAGAAAACTATTTGATTTGTATTCGTGATATTTGTAATAACGAGGAATTTGATTTAAATAATATCAAAGACGGAGTATATCGAGATAAAATACTACATTTAGTAAGGAATTATAAGCCGAATAAAATAAAAACAACTGCCCTGAAGATAACGATAGTGTTGACAGATCAACTTCCAGTTCATTGCGCGCCTCGACGTCGCCCCCCCCCCCCCCCGCGCAGAGCAGCGTGAAATTGATAAACAGATTTCGGAATGGTTAGAGAAACAAAGGAGCCTTTTTCCACTTTTTGTTTGATGGGCATCGAAACATGCTTTCCCTTTGTAGAACCTTTTGCAGCTCCAGCATCGGAAATTCTATTTGACATAATCGAAAGTTCCAACTTACTTTTATAAAATTGCTCTTACAGTCTGCAAAAAATAATAAGCTGGATCCAATTCGAAGATTAAGGAACAACGCAATCATCAACATTAACTGAAATAGATAATTAGATAATTTTAGCTTATACCATCCGTTATACATTAAACGCGCACGCGAAAACGTATTCTGTGCGTGCTTCAACGCGCCGCATGTGCAGAAAGATTTTAGCTTTGAGGTCCGGATTATGGGTGTCCGAATTAACGACTTTTGACTGTATTCAATCTAAGATTCTTTGCATAAAGCCTGGATTAAAAGAAGATTTTAATATAGTGTTTCAAGCAAGTAATAGCTGATTCAACAAATTTAAAATGAAATATTATTTTCATAATATTAAATTCACTTGGGAATCGGCTGATGTAGATAAAGATGCTGCAAAAGAATGTATTTCCCCAATGTTTAAAATTATTGTAGCTACAGAGTAGTCTCTTAACCAAATATTCAGTGTAGATGAGATGGGTTTATTTTGGGGAGAAAAATGGCTGATCTTATATTCTTATTGAAGGAAGAATCAGTTGCCCCTTGTCATAAACCTTTTAAAAATACCAGCTTGGATTTTCAGCACCCGGAGACAACTGAAGATTTTGCATCCCGTCCTATTTGCCAAGAATGGAAAACATTTAATTATAAAATTTCGTAACATTAATTAGGCCCCCCTGGATGCTGTGTCCATGGACAGATGCCGCCCTTTGGCCCCTTCTAGCTACACCCCTGAAAAATATTGATGTTGCTTCTTGGTGGAAACTTGGCTAGTGATTTAAAATTGAAGCCAGTGTTAGTTTATCAAGTGGAAAATCCCACAGCATTGAAAATAAAAGATAAAGAATTACTTTTAGTCACTTAGAAATCAAATAACAAAGCCTGGGTTATCGCATCAATAGACTGGTTCACTTTTTGTTTCATGCTAGCAGTTCAGCAACATTATAAAGACAAAAATTTACTACTTAAAACATTATTAATCTTAGACAAGGCTCCAGGACACCCAAAAATATCTGCAGAATTTATGCCTGGAAATTAATGTTAATTTTGTTCCCCAATACGACCTGCCTCATATAGTCCATGAAACAAATAGTGAGAGCTATGTTTAAATATTATACAAGAACAGTAATGAATCAGGCTGTCAAGGAACTGGCAAGGTAGGAAGGCCTACATTAAGACCTACATTCAATGCTACATTAAATGAAAAAGATTAGAAAAATAACTGAATTGTTCTAATTTATAAAACGGGGGATGGTTTATTTGAATATGGCAAGGCACACTAAGAGTATCTGGCTAAAGTTAGGGATGCATTTGCTGAGGACTTTCTAGGGGAAACTGGCTTGTATACACATGGGGAAAACCATCAAAACACCCATGCAGTCAGCCCGTTTGCCTGGAATTGAACCCAGGTCGAACTACCAGTGTTCAACGACTTTACCGCTCGACTGCTGGTGGGCCTACAAAACAGGAGAAAAAAAAGCTTATGTATTATAAATAGAATTTGAATCCTACAGATAAATTGTCCCATATACTGAAATTTTATGAATAAAATGTTTTATGAATATTTTTCATAAATTACTTCATAAATTTATTTATTACAGTTAATACATGACGAATTAAATACAAATTTAAGTCAAATTCCAAAATTCAGGAACTTGCACCTTGCTGCATAAATATATTTTATCTCCATAATAAAGCATACCTGATGTTGGTTTATGTCCAAATACACCATTGAAAAATGCAGGAATTCTTATGCTCCCTCCTATATCAGAACCAAGTCCAATAACAGATCCTGCTCCTCCAACTAAAGCACCTTCTCCTCCTGCACAAAAATTAGAAATTATATTATGCTTTCAAATGACAACTTATCTTATTTTACCAGTTAATAGAATTTCATATTTGTACAATACATTTTGCTTTTCTTTTCGAAGTTATATTTCAATTTTTAAACAAAATTAAAAACAAACTTAAAAAATTGCATAAATATTTTTATGCAATTTTAATAGAATTTAACAGAAGAATATAAATTTTCAGAATAAAAAGTATTAAGTAAGTATATTTTATAATGGAATTCACATTTTCGACATCAATATAGTTGAGTATAATAAATCATTTAGATTTTCAAAGCTTGCTCTTAAGCTGTGTAACAAACAATCTGATTATCTGCCAAGTTACTCAAACAAATGATGGAAAAAAATTAACAGTAATAATATTGAATTAATTTTGAATTATCTTGCAAAACTCAATAGTAACTGCTCTACTGATATATTGCCATTGATTGACTCATGACTTTGGGACTTTGATAGGATAGTTAAGTCTTGAAGGGCAGAGAAGTGATGACAGGTGAAAAGAGAGAGTAACCATAATTATTTGAAATAATTAAGCTTGAATTGCAATCATGTGACTGTGACAGCCAACCTGAATAGCTTGCTGTTCAAGTTTATTCACTAGTCTTCTAAGGTCATGTGGTGCAGTACTTTGAAAAATCTCTCATAATGTTCTTATAGAAATGGGAGACTTTAACACTTTTGCAAGCTGCATACAGGGAAAAGATGAAATAAAAAAATAAAAAACATGAAAATTGATACATGCACTATTTACATACTACATCTGGTTTTCTTTTTATGCAACGTCCACTTACACTTTAGCGGTCAGAAAAATTCCCAGTCATAAAATTATAGTCTCCTAAAAGATGAACATTGAAGGTTATTAACTTTCTATAATCTTCCAGTATTTCATATTAGAAGGTCATTGAGTAGTTGCCTGTATGACAATTCATTGCTTTTTGATTAAAGTTATCATTGTGAACTATAACAGTTTGTACATGTATGATATTTTTAGGTCAGCATGCAAATTATCCATACTTACCACATAATATGTGATAGTTATTATCCGGAGCACTCCGTTTTAAAGGGTCTGAAGCACTTTCAAGTTGGTTGGAGTAAAAATGCCCATGCAAGGAGGCATAAGTGATAATCAGTTGTATCACAGAGACATGGATATATCTCTTTCACCTAAGGCTCAAGATAGAACATTTTTTTGATAACAGATAAAGGCTATGAATGATTGAATTCACTTTGCTTTGAACATACAGTGGCTCCCAAAAGTTTTCAATGAAATAGGGCCTCTATCCATTAATTAAAAGAAAACTTTCTGTATGAGATTTTAATAAGATCTATAATCTTTTCGTAACAAAATTAAATGAAATATTTTTAAAATATAGCAAAACTTTATTTTTAAGAAATTAATAATCAAAAAATGATAAACATTTTATCTTACAAAAGTCTTCGTACACTGAAATATTTTTTGATAAAATCAAAATTAGAATTATCGTTTGCTGCTTTTTTTTTTTTAATTTTTGCATTGTGGTGGCATTTAAAAAAAGTTTGCTTTAATTTTTTATTGTTTACTTCATAATATTCTATTTATTATTGAAAAATGGGTCGCAGTCATAAAGAAATTACAAACAGCATTCGAAAATTGATAATTTTTCACCAGAGTAGTGGTAAATCAATTAGAAATATCACTAAATTAGTTAATTTATCCCATTCTACGGTGGTGTATGTGATAAAACAAAAGGAAATCGAATTGAAAACAAACTAAGAAAAGGTCGACCAAGAAAGTTAACTAAATGTGATGAGAGATTTATTATTAGAAAATCTGTGAAAACCCCACGTTTGAGTGCCGTAAAAGTTTCTGCAGAATTTAATACAAGGTTTTCAACTTCAATTTCACCTTAAACTGTTTGACGAGTTCTCAGAGAAGCTGGATTACATGGGTGTTCTGCCCATAAAAAAAATTTTGTTAGTGAGAAAAACAGAAAGCCCAGGCTTTCATTCGCAAAATCAATGATAAATACACCTGAAACGTACTGGAATAATGTCCTATTTGCTGACGAAAGCAAATTTAACATTTTTTATTCCGACAGTCGAATAACTGTATAGAGAAGAAAAAATGAGGAACTTTCATTCTAAGAACTTAGTTGGAACTGTTGTGGTGATCCACGGTTTGAAAATGGTTTCTGAATCAGAAGAGATTCATGCACTAACCTAGTGCTTCGCATTAGAGAGTAAAGAACATCTATGATATAAAAATATACTTTTATTTACACAGCGAAAACGCGCAGCAACATTATTTACGAAAGCTCATTCTCCTAATAACATACTTCTTTTTTCACTCCACTTGCGCATGCGCATTGACAATTACCAAAGGAGCTTGGCAGATACTGCCATCTGTTGGATAAACTATTCGCTACATATTCCTCCCACCTGAATTTACTGGGAGGTAAATTCACACACATCTGTTAAGTATAATATATGCATAATAGTACAGTATACAATATTGAAGTATAAAATTATGCCTACCAAGATGTTCTAATTAAATTGAAATACAAATTTACCTGGAGATGCAGCATTCCATAATTTTCTAGACATATTAACAGATAATACTAAACCTAGAAAAATAAAAATAAATCAAATTATTAAAAAGTATTCAAACAAGTACAAAACATTTCACAGACGTATCACTGGTTTCACAGTTCTACCACTGCTGGTAGTCATAGGAATATTTTCAGTCATATCCTTTTGGACTGGGTTATCCAGCTCAAGTCTGTACAGTCTTTGCACTGGTCTCAGAAACTCAGAAGTCTCTGTTTTTATGACAGCAAGTCTTATTTGTCCATCACGACCAGGTAGCAGCTTTATGACACGCGCCAGGTTCCAAAAAGCACGTTTTTTGTTGTTATCTTCAAGTAGAACAATTTCACCCACCTGGAGAGGTTTAGCTATAGAGTTTTTAATGGACTGCTGACGTAACTGTCCTAGATATTCCACACGGAATCTTGCTCTAAGTTGTTCTCTCACCTTTTGTAGATACTTAGCTCGTTTACTCAGTTTTTCCTTATCCACTGTATCGATATCAGGTACTCCTGATTTGGAAATCTCCCGCAGGAACATTTCTGGAGTTAATGGGGATGAATCTTCAACGTCTTCCGACACGTAGGTAAGTGGCCTAGTATTGATTACTCTCTCACAGTCGCATAGTACTGTAAGCAACTCCTCGTAATCCAGGGCAGCACGACCTAGAACTTTTCTCAGAATCTGTTTCACCATTTGAACTAAACGTTCCCACCAACCGCCCCACCAAGGTGCGGAAGGAGGAATAAATTTCCACTGAATTCTTTGCTCAGCGGCCTTTGATCGCAGACTCTCCCAATCAATTGTATGCAGAAGGCTCTCCGCTCCTTTAAAATTACTGCCATTGTCTGAGTATATTATAGATGGTCTTCCGCGACGAGAAATGAAACGTCTCAATGACTGGAAAAAAGCTTCAGTTGTCAAGGATGTTACTGACTCCAGATGAATGGCCCTATAGACCGCACATGTGTAAAGAACAATATAAGCTTTTCGACCATCTTTAAGGTAGAGGGGTCCTGCCAGATCGACACCCACTATCTCAAAAACATTTGCATCACGTACTCTATCTTTCGGCAAAATTCCTGGAGTTACATCACAACTTTTGGATTTAAATCTTTGACATTTAACACATTTTCTAATGCAGTTTCGTACTGTCTTACGAGTTTTGAGGATCCAATACTTTTCCCGCAAATGAGACATCACCATAGAAGTACCAGCATGCAGCAGCTCATTATGTGCATTCATTATTAGTAATTTTACTACTGCATGATCAGATGGCAAAATGACAGGAAACTTAAAGTCATCAGTATCGTCGCGATAAGAAATATTGGTTTTAGCTCTGATCAAACCATCACGATCAACTATAGGTCTGAGGTCTTTAATTTTATCATCGTTCACACTCTTAAATGATTCTCTTTGAACCAATAACATAAGAGTTATCTCAGCTCTTTCAATTTCCGAAACTGACAAAATTTTGGAGGTTTCGTTTGTAATTCTTCGTAATTTAAAGTAAAACCTAAGAATCCAACCTAACATGCGTACAATTTTCTTTATGGATGAAAAGTACCTGTAATACCAATTGTCAGGTTTAGAATCTTTGTTAAGAGTTGTCAATACTGATTTACGCCTTTCTGAATTTATGATCTCTTCGTCCGGCAAATCGGTGCCTCTTGACCATGACGATTCTGGTTCTAACAGCCATGATGGGCCCTCCCACCATTTCGACAGCAAAAACTGTTTTAACTGAACAGCCTCTAGAAGGGAGATCGGCGGCATTCAGCTCCGAAGGGATGTAATGCCAATCTTCTATTTTTGTAAGTGTTCTGATTTCTTGGACACGATTCCAAACGAAAGTTCCCCACCGTACGTCTCGCTGGATCCAGCACAAAGCGGTTGTTGAGTCAGTCCAGAAGAATGTTCTTAAATTTGGCATGTTCAAATCTGAAAAGACCATACGTCCCAAGCGTGCTCCGATTAAGCAGGATAATAATTCCAAACGAGGAATGGATATACTCTTTAAAGGCTTAACTCTAGTGCGTGCTTGCACAAAATTTAAATAAACCTTATTTTCGGTCTTCACTCTTAAGAAAATACAGGTAGCATAGGCATGCTTGCTGGCATCGCTGAAAACATGAAGACTTACATCTTCGTTAACCGATCTGTCAATATTAAGCCATCTAGGAATTTTGACATCAGACAGCAGTTTCATTTCCTTTACCCATTGTATGGACTTCTTTTCTAAATGTTCTGGCAATTTTTGATCCCAATTTAATCGTAATTTCCAACACTCTTGCAATATCACCTTTGGGAACAGGGTAACGGGAGAAAGGAAGCCTACTGGGTCAAATAACTTATGCGCGCAAGAAAGGAGTGTTCGTTTACTCGCGACAATCTCCTCTTTCTTTAG